GCGAGACCCCCTTCTGCAGGAAGGAAGGGCGTTAATCCTTCTCCCTCTCCCTAACCTGTTCATCGGTAAACAGAGGTGAACTTGTGTCGGATGATAATTCCATAGTATGGTTTTGGGATTGTCATCCATCCTCCACTTCCTCAGGGCTTCCTAGTGATACCACTCTAATGACGTTTCCTGGACGATGCTCAACTAGAGCCTCTAAAAAATTTTAAATGTTCCCTTGGTTGGCCAACCTTTTGTTTTGATTCACCTTACTTTCACTCACTGGTCAGGATTTCGTCCATGGCCAAAATGATCGAGCATTCCACGAAAAAACTTTTCGAAATCCTCTTGAGAGGGTAAACGAAATTTAGACAAAGACCCTGTTCTCGGATATGTCGGCAAGGACCCTACATGTTTGCCTGACTTGTGGATTAGCGTGTTCCTTCTTCTAAAAATTCGTGAAATTTTAAATAAGTGCCCAGGCGTTTATTCGAGGAATTACGGTAAACTTACGAACATTTTAGCCAACTCCTTGAAACTCAGTTCTTACTAAACTGAAAATACGAGGAGCAAAGTAATCGCTTTTCACAATTTCATTTTCCGGATAATTTAAGGAATACACTTCAGAAGATATTTGATAAAAACCCCTTAGCTTACTGAAGATGTAGGTGACATAAACTTTACCCTTCTTGATGCATTACGGTAAAAGATTGTGTAAAAATGTACAAGCATGTTTTTAGCTATCAAGGTTTATTCTAAAAATTGGCTTGAGAAGGCCCACTGGGTCCTCTTCTTTAATTTTAGGGGAGGGGGGAGCCGCTTTTTCAAGAAAGGGGGCCCAAGAGAAGGATACCTAAAAAGTTGTTTGAACAGATTTGTTAAGTCTAACGGGTGAGAAAATGAAGAAGAGAGAGGCAATTCAGACAGTGAGAGGCTACAAAGTTTACGGTGAGTATTACGTACATGCATGTGGCAGCCCTCGTATTAATCTCGTTGTCATCTGTGTTTTCGAATATTTAACAAGAAGGAATAATGTTATGTGGAAAGAGGAAAACCGAAGGACCCGGAGAAAAATTTCGTAGCAAGGATGAGAACCAACAACAAATTCAGCCCACATGCGAAGATCGAACCCAGGCCACAGCGCTCTCACCACTGCACCATAGGATTTTAGTTCAAGGATTTCTCATACTACTTTTGTGTCAGCTCACTACACCTCCGGCGAGAAAGTTCGAATTTATTTCCCACGGAGTATTTTCTTGTCAACAAGTTAAAATCGATACTACCTGATATGTCATGAGTTTATGAAATGAAATATGCCGACCTAATACCAAGACTTTAGCTGATAAAATGGCCGGATTAATTGACAGATGGCTGTAGCCTATCACCCCAAAAAAGTCAAGTTATGCTCTAACTGTCATTTAGACATACTGTGTAATTTCACTCATGACAGGATTCAAAAGACAAATCAATAAATCTATCCGACAAAAACGCCGCCGTAAACATGATAAAATGAAGAAGATATGGATATATATACGAATAAAGTTGGGAGGTAAAGTTACGATCACGCGCAAATCCTTCTGGATCGATCCCCCAAGAGTTTTTTAAAGAAAGTACTGTCCTTACCGACTTTAGCATGACTTAATCTCTAATCTATATTAGAGCATGTGGTAAGAAGATTCACAATTGTTCTAGGGGCGCCATTTCTCTTTCCCCTCTCGATCTGCAACCTTTACAACGACAATATGGCTCTAAGATTCTAGCAATTTTTGTCTAGCTTAAAACTCTGGTTAATCAGATAGCACACATAGTTTTTCTGTTGGACTTAAAACGAGTCACGCTCCCGCATAACGCCCTTCACTTTTTGTTCAAAAATTAACTGCGAGGGTCACAATTCATTCCATTTTTAAACATCATGTTAAATTTAGCTCCATGGCCTGCGATACGTATGCTCGAATCGTTTGAGTTACTTCGGATAATTCTTGCACAAATAAACACAACCGCTTAATCGAATCGGCTTGATTGGGTAGCCTGTGACCTCTAGCCTGTTAATACGCAAAGTGCCTTTCACGTAATCCTTATAACACAAAACCATCGCCATAACGGCTCTTAATGGATAGCAAAAAGAGTCAGAAGGCTGGCGTTTTTTCTGTTTATTTCGTATGTCAATTTAAAGTTATTCTCGTCGCGTTCGAGGAAATAGAAACTTTTTGATTGAAATTCCTTTTTGTTATAAATCAAGCGCTTTTTTTCTCTTTTTTTCCAAGATTCTATATACATTTCACACCACTTGTGCTAGCCATTTTACGACACGCGTTTAAAAGAATAAATAGCACTGAGTGCTTTCCTTGTTTCAAGGGAGACAAACAATCTTCCTCGACAAACAGTCCCACTTTCACCATCAAGAGGACTAAAGTGCGCTAAGTAAGTTTTATTTGCTTTCCTCTTTTCCATGGAGTTTTAAATACTGTCAACAAGAGCTGAATAATTTTATTTTTCTCAAACGTTCCCCCTGCTGTCGTAACAGATCACCAGTAATCTTCTTAAGAGCAGTATTCATGAGCATGCGTTATCGAAAAGCCGATGTCTTAAAAACCAATTTAGTGGATTGTGAATTGGTTAGGTAACCGGCATGTTTTGAGTTCTTCCAGGTCTATTTTGGGTGCATCCATGAATTTTTTCGTAGAGGAAAATTATAGATTAAACCCTTCCAATGTTTATGAAACTTGATTGACGCTTTTTGAAAAATCTAGAATCGCGCGGCGTTTGGCACGCCATACTGGGGGGGTGAACAAATGACACAAATGAGGCAATGTATGCAAGAGTCGGAGAGGCTCCTGATTTATCGTGTGTTTGAAAAGTTTTGTTACATCGAGCCAAAAGCAAGCGGGCATAGAAGGAATGCTATTGCCAGGAGTCGCCAACAGGTCCAGGAGCTCGTATCCTCAAAATAACCCAAGATATTATAGGAAACTAATTGAGTACTTTTCTGAAGCCCTTCCGAAGACGAACCGCCATATAACATTATTCGAGATAGCTCAGTGCTAGCACGAAAGTAGGCTGCAGACTTCAAATAAGAACGGAAACCTTCCGCAAGAGAAGAACATGATTAATTTTTCATATTATTAACTTCGAACATTCAATTTTCCATTCAGCTCATCTATAATCCAATAATTTAGCCTTGAACTCCCAATTGATCCTACTGACTATGAAATCGGCGCGAAAAATAACACTGGCACGCGCCAAACGTGTTCACACGCAAGCACACGAATCGCGCGGAGCAGTCTCGCTCGAGGTAAGTCACTTGCGTGAACGCTCCAAAGCAAGTTATTTTTTGCATGGAATATCTTCTTTTTTCCCAAATACAACTTCAAACCTTCGTAAAGCGCTGCACTGGTATCGAAGAGGTCATGGGTTCAAATCCCGTAGAAGCCTGGATTTTTTTTTTCAGGCCTTAATTTCAGTACTGGTCAAGTAGTGCCGGTTTATCACAGCGAAGATCGCTTTCATGTTAACGTCTTTATCCGCAGTTCAAATATATGACTTTCATATATTCACAGTCGTTTATTACAACTTCAAATCATCGCATAATTTGCAATTTCCGCTTGTTGATTTGTGTTCATCTTTATTTTTTAATCTTAAAAGAAATCAGCGTTCTGAAAAGAAGCAGTGAAACTTAAAAAGGAGAAATCGGGTTGCTTTCCTTCTTTGCTACCAGAGATAAAGCTTATTTTAGACGGCTTATCTGTCAGGACGGGTTTAAATCGGGTAAAAATGTCAAAAGAAAGACAAATATATTGAATATCACATTCAGCAGATACCGATAACGACTGAAATGAATAGAAGTTTTTATTTTCCTCACTTCAAGTTTTGTATATGCAAGGCCGATTTCCTCTCATTCGACTCTAGTCTGGTTAAAAAAAAAAAAAAAAAAAAAAAAATTCGAAGCATCGTGGGCGGAGTTTTAGGAAACCTGGAATAAGGCCAATTTACTCTTTATCTCTATTAATTTGCCCCTCATCAAACACAAACATTCTGCACAGAGGGAGTTAGTCTAACCCCTATGTAGTATTAGTACTAATGGAAATATTCTAGAGTAAGGAAATGTCAGAAAACATTGCTTCCTTTGAAAAGTTTATTAAAAATCAATGAGAATATACAGTATATATTTTCCAGTTTTGAAAAAATAATTTTCGAAACAAGATCGTGCATGGTTGGATTCTAGCCGAAGTCACCGGCCTTTCAGGATTCAGTTACCGGAAAACTCTCGGTTAACACTCAATAAATTTCCTAATAGGGGGAAATCTGATTTGCATTAAATACTCCTAGAAAGAGATTAAAAGTGTATTCTATAATTGATCAGCACTAAGCAATTTTCGGCCATCCGGGTAATTTTACCTTTAGGCAATAAAGGATTGTCCAGATCCAACAGCTCGGCCGGGTAATTAAATCTTTGAGCGGTGTACTTAACGAGGTTGTCGTGAGTGTCAGCGCTTGGCGGACGAGTACTTGTAAACTGAAAATTTAACCGGAAAGAAAAGTGGATAGGACTCATGCAAAAATAAACATTTTTGGTGTGGAAATGTCTGCATTACAATTGTCATAGAAAAGCGTTCGACTAATATCTCTAATTGAAAAGCGTGACTTAGCTGATTTCGCGTGATCTCCAAAACAAACCGGATGTAAGGATTTCACCAAAGATCTAATTGATTCCAACCAAGGGAGCATTTTTCGATGAAAATGACCATTCATAGTGCCATGAAGCCACAAATTGACCAGTTAAGTTCTTACCTAGCCGTTAATAAACAACACAATGCGTAGATCCTCAAGACGAGAAGTTTATTTTTTTTTATGTGATTGAATCATTAAGAAAAACCTTTTTAGCGACTATAACTCTGATTGTTACCGTTTAGCATCACTACATAATTCAATTAATGGATGGCGCCCTTGAATGTTCAGTGGAACACGCACAAGTTCTATGCGAGCTGCGCATGATTGGTCTATAGTCGATTTGTAGAATTAATAGCTTAAACACTTCCGCTATCTAACTTTAATAAATCTAAGTTTGATCCCTTTACTTCTAGTAGGCGTCAAGTCTTGTGCAATGACGCCTTCCTTTAGCAAATACTGACTTATTTATGTTTCAGCTAAAAAAGACATAACGGAAAGCAGAAAATACGATCGGGTTATATCTTTTTAAAAAAGGTGACATTATTGAGTGAGTGGGTGACTTAGAGATCCAATTACAGGTCATAAAAGCCGGATATGTGGCCTCAAGCTAAACGGAAAGTTATATTTAGAAAGAAAACTGCTGGATCACTTAGCTAAAGTGATATCTTAAACGGGCAAGGACGGTCCACGACCCGATTTTTTCTCATTAGGAACCTTAAGCAAACCATTATGGTGACGCCAACGAGGACGTGGCAGTACAAAAGACATACTGGGCAGAACAATAGCTCAGCACGTCCTTTGCAAAACAGCAACGCGAAATCACCAAAATTTGTGTGGTTTGAGAACGGAAACCCCAACGGCAAATTATTTAACTTTCCATTTGGTGCTCAACGCCGCCGCTCACATACGTTATGCTGAAGTTGAGGTGTGGCGTTGTAAGAGAAGCCATACGCGACATTCTGACTGAAATATAAATAAATATTGTAATCGACATCTTCCTCAACTTTCTCATCCTGGCTATTATATCACGTCCGTTTGGAGATGAGGAGTGACTGAGTCATGGGGGGCGCCAGATGGGTGGAACACGATTGGGTGGGGTTCTGTAAGAGACTCCAGTCACGTACCTGAAACCATATCACGTACAGAAACTTTTGGCGTTTGGAGCAACTTTTTGCGGTTCTAGAAACCTCGAGCGATTTTTGCGTTTCATAAGAATTTTGCTTTTCAGAGCAATTTTGAGCAAAATGTAGGTTCAAGGACATATCAAGCACGGGAAAGTCAACGATTTCGTAGAAAACTTCAATGTATGCGAATTTCTTCAGTGTTTATCTCTGAGAATACAATCAAATGAGCTAGTTTCGTTCAAGTTCCCTCATATCGTCAGGCAAGAAGTCGAATGAACCATGTGTTTTGTTGCGTTAGATTTGAATTATTCATACATTTTGCCAATATTTGGGAGCGAGCAACTCTTTAAAGCTAAGTTTCAGGCAACATTTCTTGACCGATGTCATTAATGATTGTGGAGAACGAAAAATAAAGGTTTTAAGCATCGTTTATGCAGAAATATCAAGAAATTTGGGATCCCTATTAAAAATTCGTATCCCTACTATTTAATAAAGTGAAGAAGGAGGGAAAAGACGCTTGTTCATGGGGGGCGATTGTTTAATATTACGGCCCAAGAGTGGGCACTTAATCGGGGGAGGGTGCTTATTAGAACGTGGGCGCTTATTCGCTATATTTTTCGGTCCTTTTCGCTGCATGAATTCAGGTTTGCCAATAAACAAGATAAAGGAGCGGTATTAGCCTCTCACGTAAGGCGCAATAAAATTCGTCCATGTAATCCCCACTTTGAAAGTCTTAGCTATGCGTCGCAAATAGGGCAGCTCTCTCTTCTATCCTTCCTCGGCCTCGCTTGGAGGGTAGTCTCCTTCTCTATCTTGGATGCGCATGGGTAAGAGAATATCAACTGGTATTCTCTTGAATAAAGGGGGTTAGTTTCTAAAGAAACTGTGGTGCTGCGTCGGTAGGAGAGTATAGCAGGTAATTTAGTGTTAACAACTGGGTTGAAAACGTAAATTAGCCACCGTAAAGAGTAAAAAAGCTGACGTTTCGAGCGTTAGCCCTTCATTAGCTCTGACGAAGGGCTAACGCTCGAAACGTCAGCTTCTTTACCCTTTTGCGATGGCTAATTTACGTTTTCAACTCAGTTGTTAACACTAAATTACTTGATATTCTCTTGTCTATGCGCATGCCCTGGTAATGGGCGTGGTCTTATCAAAGTTAATAAAACATAATAGACTCGCTCGAATACGAGAAAAGAGATTTGTTTACGAATTATCGTACTTTTCTGTGATAATTTTTTTTCGTTTCATGATTAAAATTTAAATGGAGCGCAACCTTAACCATTGTAATCATTCGAGGTGGCCATCGGAAATATAAGAGTCGTTATCGGAAATTTTTGGGCGAATCACGCCTTCGACTCCAAGAAAAGTTAACCATTGTGTGAGGTAGAAACAATAAATGGCTAAAAGTTAGTCAGAAAGGGGAACTCGACAGGTTTCTTTGCTAGTCTCTTGTTGTTGTTGTTGTTTTTTTACTTAGTCCGGGTAAGGTGCGTGACATAACATTAACCAGAATGCATAGCGATGGTGTATTTCGATTTTGGCGTCCATGGACACACTAAAAGATGCGAAATATTAGCTAAAAATATTTAATTTAATGTCTTTTTAACTGCATACACGGAAAATCTCACTTGATTTGCCTTTAATTTACAATCTGCACTATCTTGTTTGCCCAACATGTTTCAGAAGTCGTCGCTGTAAGAAGAAAGAACCGGCAGTTACGAACTAGTAGCATGAATCAGGAACAAGCCGAGGGAGAGTCACTTGAGTCTCATGTGAAGGACCTTGTGCTAGAAAGAGAAATTGGAAGGGGATCGTATGGAAAAGTGTACAAAGCTCTATGGAAAGGAAAAGAAGTGGCAGCGAAAAGGTTTCACGCCGTTCTCGCTAATGATAGCTGCGGCCAAATGATCGACCACTTTAGAGAAGAGTTCCAGCGAGAATGGGATGCCCTCAAGTCACTCAATCATCCGAACGTGGTCAAATTCCATGAAGTTGTGTTTCCCAAGGGAAGATTGCCTGTAATTATTACAGAACTTTTGCACTGTGATCTGGAAAGGTTCATTAGAGAATCGAAGTCGTCCCCAAAAGTCCCACTAATTCATCTGATATGCATAGCCTTAGACGTGATTCAAGGTCTTCAGTTTATGCATGGCTTAGAAAATCCAATTGTCCATCGCGACCTGGCGACAAAAAATATCCTACTAACAGATACCGGCACTGCCAAGATCGCGGACATGGGCGTGGCTAAAGTTTTTGTCCAAGGGTACGAAATGTATGCAACTCCCGTGCGAGGCACACCAGTTTATGCAGCACCAGAAACATATCCAGCTATGGAGAATTTTGAAATCGTGAACGATGCAAAGTATGGTCCCCGAGTGGATATATTTTCTTTTGGTGTCATGTTACTGGCCATGGCTGTTGGTCATGAGCCTAAAGTCTGGCCAATTTCTCCAATTACCAAAGGTATTATGATTATTAGTTGAGTGATGTGCAATAAATGTTTGGTGATGGGGTTTTGGTCATAAAATTACTGTTTGATCATGGGCAACCTTCCTCGTTTCCAGAGGTAACTGAGTCTTAATTAATGGCTGTGCATTGCCAACCATCACAGGTGAAAACCTGCCAAAAGAGGCCCATAGACATGTCCTTACTGGAAAAACAGCCAGTTGCCCATGACAACAATATGATTTTAACGTCAAAATGTGGTTGACAAACTTGTTGCCCTCACTCAACTGAAATTGTATGTACCACACACACATGATGTCCTAGTATTCTACTCAAGTGGCCTAATAGCCATCTTGCTTTTAGAGCATCATCACAAGCAGTTCATTGTTTATATTTTTTCTAATAACTCAACAAAATCACACTCTAGTACCATTAAATTCCTGCCTAAAAGAACATTTTTTCAAAATGCCTGGTTTACAATAAAGTGTTTCAATAAAGTGATTGTCAGTTATTTCTTGCAAAGAGTTTAATGTAACTCTTTTGTTATGTTAATTTCTTTCAGGCGGGAAGAAGGTTAGTGAATATGAACGTCGCAAAGCTGACATCAACGAGATGGGAGATCATTTAGTACAAAGTTTAGTACTCAGGTGTTTGGAGAATGACAGCAGCTGTCGTCCATCTGCTAAAGATATCAAAATAGAATTAGAGAAGCACAAGTGGAACCTAGTGCGGCATTCTGAGTCTTATGAAATGAATGAAGAAGCTGTAATTGAGAAGGTGCAGCGTCAACCCAGTTATGACTACAAATTTAAGATCCTCTTCATAGGTGATAGGGGAGTGGGGAAGTCATGCCTTTTTCAGCGCTTTCGAAACCCTGCATATGACATTTTTATGAGTACAATGACCATAGGCTTAGAAGTTGACATTGAGTCCTTTAAGTATGGCTCCAAGTTTGTACATTTAGAAGTAGTTGATACTGCTGGACAAGAGCAGTTCTTTGCAGTGCAAGCCATGTATTTTCGTGGAGTACATGGCATTTTTCTGGTGTGTGATGTAACAAATCGTGAAACTTTCCAGCACATTTCCAGGTGGCTTGACCTAGCTCACCTTTACTGCACTGAAACTAATGCTTTGATTATTCTCATTGGCAACAAAATCGACCAAGAAGAGAATCGCAAAGTTTCTCGTGAGGAGGGTGAAGAGCTTGCCAAATGTCATGGGCTAAGCTACTTAGAGGTCAGTGCTTTAGATGTTGGAAATATTGAAGACATGTTCAAAAAAATGATTCAGCTTCTCACAAGGTCTGTTGACCTTGGTACAATTAAAATTGAACTGGCTGAGACTGATGATAAGGTAAAGTTGACGAAAGGTTCAAAGAAGTCCAAATGCAAGTGTAAATCAACATAAAATGGGAGACATTCCTCTGTGGATGGAGAATAGATTTTTGTTGAACATTACATGTTGCAGTGTTTTACACTACATGTTTGGTTTATGTTGTATGGAGGTAGTGGCCCTAACACTGCACGAGGTAGTGTTTAGGAGTATCCTTTCTCCTGCAGGAGAGAATGCTTCTCTGTCATGGGTTACCCATTGATATTTTGACAGTTTGCTTGAACATGTTTATACACCTGGATGAAGAGAAGCTTTGTGAGAGGAGAAAGTGTCTCACCCAACATGCAAAACCATGAAACAGCCAGGGCTCAAAAAAGGCCCTTGACTAAATTCTGAGTCTACAAGCCTGATTATTAAGCAGGAGCACACCACCTCATATGGCTCACTTATCTTAACCCTGTAACTCCCATGAGTGACCAAGACAGAATGAGAATGAAAACAAAGGGAAATATCAATGAGTACTGGTAGTGGGACAGAGTGGAGTCGAATTTGTTCTGTGATCATACAAGTGATTAACAAATCAAATGACCTAAAAGTATGAGTCCGATTTGTTAATTAGGCATATGGTTACAGACAGAATTGGATGATATTAAATCCTGTTACCAATTAACCCTTTCACTCCCACAAGTGACCAAGACAGAATTTCTCCTTACAATATCAATACAATATCAAGCAGGCAGGTGATGAGAATAGAGAAGATCTATCAATCATGGGATTATTAGTTGATCCAATACCAAATTCTCTGAACTAACATCATAAGAATTGTATGGCAGATAGTAAGGAGAATTACTAATCAGATCTTGGGAGTGAAAGGGTTAATCAAAACTATGACAAAAAAACCAGATTGGTTATATACTTTCAAACTTTTTGCTTTGTGAAATGCATGGTAACAGCACCCACACTTGATGAGTACTATCCAATTACAAGTATGATGTGTACACTGTCCTTTTCATGTTTGATCAGGCTGGTGATAACCGATCATGTTCCCAAATTTTGTTATAGTTTTAATTGGGGATTATTAGTTGATCTAATACTGAAATACTGACATCATATGTATTGTATTGTAGACAGTAAGGAGAATTATTAATGATATCTTGGAAGTGAAGGATTAAGAAGTGGAGTGTGTTATTATGTTTTAACGACAGAAAACAAATGGAAGCTTCATGTAGCTTAAAACTGTGGTGGAGATGCAATATGAATTGCCTCAGCCTCATCTTAGCTGTAGGTAGTCAACTTTTCATCGAAGCAGAAATTTATGTGAAAGTTCCACAATTAATTAATTCCTCATGTTCTCTTTAAGAAAAGACTTACCGGTTCTAACTGATTGTGGATATTTCTCTGGAGGAGCTTTAAAGAGAGACATGGGATTTTTTAAGTTTTTTAAAGTTTTTTTAATGCAGTGCCTCAGAAGCCTCCTATGCAACTGTTTTTTGGTCTTTCCATGGCACAAACCTATTCCCCTTTCCTACCAGATAGTGTGTTACATGACAACACCTAATGAAGCACATGAAGAATGTTGAATGTATATTGGAGATGTTATTATTAGAGGAGTTCATTTTTTAGCTTTTTTTTGAGGGGGGAGGGCCTGTTCAAAGTAGGTACTTTTTCAATTTTTTTTGTGCTAAATTCACATATATTATGCATGCAATCAAGCCAAAATGATTTACAGACAAATAGTGATTTTTAGAAATATATTAGGAAGGGAATAACAAGGAATAACTTTGCTCAGATGTGGCATTATATAGTTACAGTAATGTAAATATTTCAGATAATTTGTAGATAGTAATGGTTGAAGGATAGCTAAATTTACAAAAGCTAGTGCTAGAACTCTATGTGATATTGTTTTAGATTCTAAAGGAGGGAAAAAAAATTATTGATGTACTATTTCAAAAATGAGTGCAAGTGTTTCATCAGGGTTTCCAAACAAAAGAAAGAGAAAACCAAATGACTTTTATTTTTTTCAAGTTTTTGAAAACCCTGACAAATCATGATACATAGTTGCAGATATGTAAATATACCTTCTTAGTAGTTTTTGTGTATATCACTTTGTATTTTTGCAGGTCATGGCTGTATTTTACTGAGTCCATAGGGCAAGTCAAAATACAAACAAGGAGTGAAAGTACTCAGTTGTAATTCACACCAAAATGACTTAAAAAGTTGTTTATTATCCAACTTCTATAGTTGATATCCATAGTGTGCATAGCCAACCTGTTAAACAGGTTTTTTTACAGTACAAAACAACCAACTTTTCAATATTGTAGGATATTTACACTCAACTCACATGTCATTTGTACTCTTGGTATTATTTGACTTATTTCACACAATTTTTTCTGCACTTGCATTTCTTCACTATTTGTAATGGTAATAGGAATGAGTAGAGTCCAATTCAGTCTATAATCATATGAGTGATAACAAAACTGGATGACTGTGTAGTGGGAGTCTGATTTGTTTATTACAAGTATGATCATTACAGACTGAATTGAAGGACATAAAGTATTATTACCAATTAATCATAAAAGTTACAATTTCTGAAAAAAGAAGAATAGCCAAGATTTGCAATCTGGACTGTTGGCATAAACATTTGTGCCATAGGATAAACAAAATCACTGGTTCTCTAAAATATTGTCATTGTTCAAGGGGGAAAAAAATCTCCATTTTGAAGAAAGCCCAAATTTAGGAGTCTATGCACTGTTTCTGTGGTGATTGAAACCAAGGTTGTTATTGGTTGATTCAAACTACAACTATGAGTGTGGTTGGCTTATTGAACTGTCTGATAACAAACTGTCCAATAAAAACTTGGCAAGTGAACTTGTGGAAAATAGGAGTCTTTAAAACCAATCACAATGGAGAAAATTGTAATTATTTATGATTAGATTCCTAATAGTGACTGACTGCAAATTTCTCCAATAAACTTGCTTGAATCAATCTAATGGTCATAAGAATGAATAAAATGATCAACAATTTAAAAGCTCCTAATTTGTCACACAAATTTTCCTCACTAGTACCACTGGAGACAAGAAGAGAACAGTGTGAAAACCCTGATTTTCCAGCCTGTTCCCCTTTCTTTGCTCAAAATTGATTACAGTTAGTGGTTGAAAGTACTAACAACTTGGTCATTGGTGACACTCTTTTCCCCAAGATTTTTCTATTTAATTTGGAAGGTTTGGTCAACCTAACTGACATTTACTTCTGTTCTTTGATCCAAATTTCCACTAGTCTAGTCCAGGCCAATTTATTCTTTCAATGGAAAATCATGTACCCAAAACATTTGTATATTTCAGTACGTTTGGGATTGCAAGAAAGAGAAAAAAAAATAATAAAAAAAACGAAATTCACAAGTTTGAATTATGTTGTTGATATGCAACATTTTTTTCAAGAAAGCAAGATCAAGTAGTTCAAAAGAGACGCTGTCTAATTATTATTGCATAATTTATTCATGAAAGGAAAAACCACAATATTAAATATCAGCCAATGAATGTGCAGCACTACTGCGAACAATTATTTCACCGGCTTGAAATAAAAAACTGAAGTATCACGCCGTGAACTGAGACCAAATTATCAGTTGTACCATGCGAGTTCCCTGAAAAGAATTGTAAAATTATTTTTAGCTACTAAGCCAAAATGGAGAAGAAACGGCAACAGTTCGGCTTGCGCTCGGATGAAGTTCCCGCTCAATTCCGCGAAATGTTCATCTGTTCTGGCTATCGCAAACCTTACAGTACGGCGATGGATTGTGTGAAGAGTGCTTTCTTGCCACTGAACGAAACTGTCAACGTTTGGACACACTTTGTCCCTTTTCTGCTTTTCCTGGTACGTTTTACGTTCTTATTCTCGAAATATTCTCTTATCAAGGACGCCTATGTGTATCCTTTGCTGTCATTTGCCATTGGAATCTGCGGATTTTTATTGATGAGTTCTGGAGCACATCTTTTCAACTCCATGTCTCCGAGAGTACGACACATTTGCTTCTTCTTCGATTATTCAGCAATTAGTGTTTACAGTGTCGGAGCAGGACAAGCATTCTACTTCTACAGTCGCTCTCTGAATAGTAGTGACACTTTGTTCAATTCCTGTAGCGCTTTCCTAGCGATTTCATGTTTAATTTCCGTTTTCTCAACCTTCACCTGTTGTGCCTCGAGGCACAGATGGCCTAAGATGAAATACGTTATTCGCACGCTTTGCTTTGTGCTAGCGTTTTTCTTCAACAGTTTCCCATATTTACATCGTGTATTTGTGGATTCACCATCCCAGTTTGATACGCCGGAAGAGCAGCTCGCCATCTCCTATTTCCGACGTCACTCGGTCTTCTACCTAATTTCTGCGTTAGCCAACATGTCGCGAATGCCTGAGCGGTTAATACCCGGTGTGTTCGATTTCGTTGGCCACAGCCATCACTTCCTCCATGTTTTCACTGCTCTTGGGGCAGCGGATCAATTCACAGCCATTCAAATCCAAATGGAATCGAGACGAAACGATTTGGAGCGTTTCCCAATTGCAACATTTGGGAACAGTTTAGGTCTTATGGTGTTTATTTGTGTAATTAACTGCGGTATAGTGTTATGGTTTGGTAAGAGTCTTCGATCGAACAAGGAGGAAGAGCACAAATCACTATAACTGTTTCAAGATGTTACGCGTTTTATTTTTCGATCGATTGTGTTACAACCTTCCGTAGCTTTGGGATTCGATAGATGAAACTTTGAATGAAATTAGAATACTTCTATTCATTAGTCTTTTGTTGCTTTGAGAAGTGTTTGTGATTTTTCATTTTTCAAAAGAAATGCTTGTAAGACAGTCACAATATCACTGAATTTCTAGCTCGCAGGTAATAAAACATTTAACAGGGAATACTTCAATTGATACAAGTCTAGTTTAAAATGAAATCGCTTTTTGAAGAGAAAAGTTGACAGGAAATATAGAATTTTGCTATTCTTGGTGAAATATATTGAGAAAAACGTTGTTTGTTGGAAGAAATGTTTCTTTAGAGTAAGTTAGTAAAATTTGGTCGGCTTAATATTTGAGAAATAAACGAACAAAGATGAATCTGTCAGTGTATATTTAACCAGTTTATTGTCATAAGAACATGGGACTTGATTTCGAATGGAATTGGTTCCAGGTATAAGTACCCGCCAAATGATAGCTTAACTTGATAAAATACCCGCAGCCAGTGACGTTAATTTAGACCATCCATTTATCATAATTTATTTTATATTCAATTTTCTGCTCGGCTATCCCCCGTACCCTTTTATTTTAATTTATTTTGTCGTTCCTGCTAAAATTGTGCCACTGAAATGTTTTAGTTTAGTAGCTTTGGGGATGAAGTTTCTTGTTTTCTTTTGGCGAAGAGATGCGGTCTAAGCACACTGACAGAAAAGTTAAAAAGTTAAAAGAAATACCATACTTTATTACAGTCTTCCTCTCTGAAAAGATCCCAATTTAAATAACAGTGCGTTCCTTTAGGTTGCAGATGAGTCTTAAGATGCTATCCGAGGGAGGGAGGGAAGGTAATCCTTGACCAGTCTGTCACACGATGTAAAGCGTGACACTACTTTGGC